TGTACAGTAGAATGTATCTTGCTTGTTTGGACGAATGGGTAAAAAATGATGGACGTGGATGGTATTAAATTGATCTGTCCAGAAAAAAGGTGTACCTTGTGTTGTGAAAATGCAAATGTTATGTTGTAAATACACTAGTGATAGTTGTAAAGTTATAACTAGTTAAAGTTTTGCTAAGCAATTGAAATTTACACAAGTACCATTATGAAGTGGGAGTTGTGAATTTACATATATACCATTGTCATTTTTCTATTCTCTTTATTGCTATAATCTATCTTCACTTATAACTTACTTATGAGTACTTGAAAAGTATGAGCTGTAAAATTTCATTTGTATAGATTGTCATTTTCTATTTTTTGTTGTCAAAAAATGTATCCCCAATTATAACTTACGTTTGAGCACTTACAAGTACTTATGAGATAGCTGTAAATTTCCACATGTACTATTGTCATTATTCTATTCTGTATTTCTAAAATGCTATCTTTACTTGTAATTTATTATGAGCACTTGAAAAGTACGATTTGTAAAACTTTCACCACACACACACAACCACACGTTGTTATTATTTTTATATTATTTGTTATTAAAACATGTACCGCCACTTATAACATACTTACACGAGCACTTGTGAAGTGAGAGTTGTGAATTTTCATGTATACTGTTGTTATTTTTTTAATTTTTTGTTGCTAAAACGCATATCTCCACTTGTAACTTCCCCATATTTTTTTTTTGCAAACTTGTAGCTTACCTATATGATTATGTAAATTGGGATATTATAAACGAAAATATCATTTCACTGCATCACTTGTTTTCTATTTACATTGTACAGTTAGAAATACTACTACAGAAAACATGTCATTGCAATAAAATGACTATTTCTTTACGCACATTATATTCCTGTATAGTTTTAACTAATGATTGGCTATTTCTTTCCCCTTGCTCTGTGCAACTAGATTTCATCCAGCCGTATGGGATGAGTCACAAGCCCCTGAATAAGTTAGGCTTTATTACATCAAGTTGTTCCTATATCGCGAGTCCTCTGATTAATAACCCATATGTGCAACATTGTTATCAAAATAATATAGTACCTCCGGTCATTAATATAAGAGCTGGTTTGATTTTTAATTTGGCTTTAAATATAAGATTTTAATTCATTTTGCTTTCTCATGCTTATTTTTTTTTAAAAAATAGTCTTATAGTAGTTGTACATGTTAAATGTTCAATCAAATCGTAGTTTTAGCTAATAATACCTTCGATCCTTAATATAAGACTTTGTTTGATTTTTATTTTGATTCTAAATATAAGACCCTACTTCCACTTTGTCTTGAATATTTATACATTTTTTTTATAAAATAATCCTTCTAATAATGATAGTTCTAGCCAACACATTTGATTAACAAGGATATTTTAGGAAAGACAACACCTATTTATTACAAATAACTAACTTAACTTATTTTTCAGTTTCCTCAAATTAGTCAACTAACTCTTATAATTAGAACTGGAGGTGGTACACGAGAAGCAAAGGCATTTTAGAAAAAAACAATACCTAATTATTATAAAGGGATAATTAATCTCCAACTCCTTATAGTTCCATTTGATTTTTAATGAGATTCTTATAAAATTTTTCTTTTATCAGATCCTTTTACTTTCGTGTGTTTTTAATGAGGTCCTTCTTTTTTTTTCTTCTTTTTATTAGGTCCTTATAGTTCACTTATTTTTTTAATTAGGTGCTTTGTAGTTTTAAAAAATTATTTATTAACTTTATTCTTTAAAATTAATTTATTTTTAAATTAATAATTATATATTGGACAAAATAATTAATATAATCATTTAGTAATTAATAAATAATCAGAATATACTTAAATATAATTATTTATAATCATATTTTAATTTTAGAAAAAATTATTATTATAATTTGAATTTTATAATTATAAAAATTTGAATTGAAAATAAATAATGTATTTGTTTAACTAAAAAATTTAAAAGAATATTAACATAAGATTGTTACAATGATTTATTATTTTTAAGATGTTATTATTTGTAAAATAAAGAACAAAAACTACAAGGACTTAATTAAAAACAAAGTAAAACAATAAGGACCTGATAAAAAAAATTATATGGACCTGATTAAAAATATATAAAAGTATAAGGACCTGATAAAAAGAAAAAAAATTATAAGGATCTGATTAAAAATATATAAAAGTATAAGGACCTGATAAAAAGAAAAAAAATTATAGGGACCTGATTAAAAATCAGTTAAAACTATAAGGACTTACATATTAATTATCCCTATTATAAATAACTAACTCAACAATTTTTTAGTTAATTAGTTTTTATATTATTAAGGATTGAAGGTAATATATGTTTACAAGCACAGTCTGGAACTTCTAACCATATCTCTTGCATCGCCACACTTCGTGAATAGTTACTTAGTAAAACTTCAACAAAAAATAAATTTACAGCTACCATGAGAATATTTACAACATAACATTTGGATTTTCACAACACAAAGTTACATTTTTTTTTTTCCTGGACAGATCAATTCTTCCATATCTATCCCTTTCACCCATTTGTTAAAACAAACCAGATACATTTCCGCTATCCACCCTGTCAAATAACCCATTATTTCCATGCCCATTTCCTCACACTACAAGCTCATCTCAAACTACAATTCTTAACAATTTGAACCATTAAGATGAGACCTTCTAAAATGAAAATTCAGACCTTACCTCAGTTCGATTGCGTAACTCAACAAAGACGCGACTGGATAGAGTAGAGTGGTGCGATTTGGGATTGATTGCGAAACTCAAGTTTATACTACAAAAACTGATTGCAAAAAGAGAATAACCGACCTCGCGTTATTGACCAAGATATGGGAGAGTACATGGCCACCGAGCATCACTCGCATTTGTGATTACTTTTATCCATCCGTTTCTTACTATCTCCAGTCTTAAATATAAGAACTAGTCGACTAATTTGAATAAATTAAAAAATAAGTTAAATTAATTATTTGTAATAAATAGATGTTGTCTTTTTTAAAATATCCTTACAAATCAAGTTTATTGGTTAGAACTACCATTACTAAAAGGATTATCTTAAAAAAAAATGAATAAGTATAAGAGACAAAATTGATTAGGGTTTTATATTTATGACCAAAATAAAAGTCAAATGAGGTCTTATATTAAAAACCAGAAGTAATATTTCATTACTCAGAGTTGCTTTTGTAATTTTGCTATCAAACACAATTTCAGTTCACGCTTAAAAGACTCAACTGATAATTTTGAAGCTCTTGGGACTTAAAGTACCTTGTGGGGACTTAAGTGGGATTTTCCCATAATAAAATAGCACAGAGAGTCAACTTCAATAAAGGGGTGTTTGACAACCTCCAAACCATGGTTTCAGATGCACTTTTTCATAAAATGAGATAAATTCCTCCACATATTTACTCCGTAAACCGTAAAAGTACTTCTGAAATCATGGTTTGGTTTCTATCCAAACACCCCCTAAATCAATATTAGTAATCTTCAATTTAACTCTCAAAGTATGCACAACATAAAATAATATTTATCAGACATATGTGCAAAAGCATCAAATGAAAAATTTAATCATAACTATTTAAGATTTAACCAATTAATTTTCATAAAATCTGAAATGGATAATAAAATAAAATATATTCTTCCACACAAAAAATATATTCGCTGGCAAATAAAATAAAATAAATTATATTCTAATTAAACTTAATCATTCAAAATTCATTACTAAAAAACTAAGCAAAGAGAATAATCTTCTCATTACTGACTTCCATACCAGGAATAAAGTTCTGACATATTACCTCCGGTTTGTAATATAAGACTCTGTTTGACTTTTATTTTAGTCTTAAATAGAAGAGCCCAATTTACTTTGTCTCTCGTATTTATGTATTTTTTTTCATTTAGAAAAGATAACACCTATTTATTATAAATAACTAATTTAACTTTTTTTAATAATCTCTTTAAATTAGTTAACTAATTTTTATAATTAAAACCAGAGGTAGCATTTAGCTAACAACTTCAGAATGGAATGATTAGCTAGAAGATCCCTAGTCATTGATCGGCAGTCAACCAAGCAAGGTTCGTATACCAGGTAGTCAGCCTCATTCCAGCCAAGCAAGTTATCAGGCAGCAGGAAGCACTGGTAAAGATTGGCTCCCATTAAGGAAGATAATAATAAATCCGCCAGGCCAGGCCCAGCCTGTGGCTGAGCCTCTAACTTTTTAGTCATAGATCGACCAACTTTTTTAATCTAGCTAATACTATTATCTCCTGTTCTTAATAAAAAAATTTATTTAATTTTTATTTTGATTTTAAATATAAGATTTCAAATTTATTTTGTCTCTCATATTTATCTTTTTTTCTTCTAAAATAGTCCTTGCACTAATAGTAATTTCAGCAAATATACTTGATTAGTAGAGATATTTAAAAAAAACAATATCTATTTATTATAAATAACTAACTTTTTTAATCTACTTAAATTAGTTAATTAGCTCTTATATTAAAAACCGAAGTAGTAATAGACAGGAAAAAAATAAATTAATAGAGCAGTAAATAGCTCTTCTGAAAACAAAAATTGGAGCGAACATATACTGCAAAATATTCCATGCCATGAACATCCGCTGAGAGAGCAGCATATGGTTCAGGCTTCAGAGGAGGACATTGTTCCCATTTCCCAAAAAGCGTTTCGCAATCGGAGAGCGGGGCCTCGTTTGGAGACGGAAAAACACAGCGAAAAAGCTCCCGGCGAGGATCGAACTCGCGACCTTTCGCTTACGAAGCGAACGCACTACCACTATGCTACGGAAGCTCCGGTGACGCTCGCTCTGGCTTGATATCTTGTAAACAAATATTCATTTGAAGAAGTCTTCTTCTCCAACTCTGAAGTCAAAACCCTTGAAGAATCTTGTGCTGCGGACGTCGAGCACGTTCTTTGTAGTTGCAGAGCTAGGACAAGCAAGTAAGCAAGAGATGTGTGGTATTGCTCTGATTGTCTCAGGCGTTCGGATTGACGTTTCATGTTTGTTCTTGGATTCGACATGCCCACCACACAAAACAGAAGATGTAAGTTCAAAATGGGCAGGATCTGTGCATTTCTGATAGAAAAACATTGTTTTATCTTGAAGTTAGATGGTGTTTTGTTTGATGTAGATGCAAAATTCTGCCTATGTACGAACTTATTTATTTTTTCAATTGTTAGTTCTTATTTGGGTGCTGTGCTTCAGTTGGTGTTCTCTGTAGATGATCTTAAAGCAGCTCTACGTAGAAGGGGTCCTGATAGCTTAGGTAGCAAGAAAGTGAATCTTCAATTCAACATCTCAGGTCAAAAAAACATTTCAACTTTCATTGAAGATGACGAGGCATTGGAATTGGGGGCAGACATTGAGAAGTTGCATATAGTACTGTCTGGAAATAAATGTGATTGTGTGTCCTTGGATAACGGGCTGTCTTGCTCGTTATACAATGCTGGTGTCCGAAGTCCGTCTGCAGAACTGCATTTCATTGGTGCAACCTTACAACTCAGGGGAATAAATCCGCTCGTTCAACCTTTGGTGGATTCGCATGAAAACATCCTTGTATACAATGGTATTCTGTATTTTCTCTGCATTTTTTTTTTGGCTTAATTGACATCCTGCCCTTTTTTTTTTCTAGTAGGCAACAAGTATAAGTGAGCGTGTAAATTGAAATATCTCTTTCCAATTTGAAGTTATTCTACTCAACATGTTTTCACAGAGCTTAAAATTGTAATTCCTTGAACCTACAGGCATAGGTCCAGGTCTTGAATATCATATGCCTGTTTGTATCTTTTTGCATGTATTCCTCTCTCGGTAATCAGGAACTCATTTTAGTTTGCTACATTTGCTTATAATGAAAATTTTGACATTCTGTTTTATTGTGCTGTTTTTCAGGTGAAATTTTTGGAGGAATCCATATTGCAAGTGATTACAATGACGCTGAATTTCTCATGCAAGCACTTGCAAAGTGCGGCTCACGTGATTCTATTCCTGATCTTCTTTCTATGATTAAAGGACCATGGGCTATCATCTACTGGCAGGTAACTCTGAGTGGTAAGTTTCCATCAGTCGAAATAAATTGTAGCATCATTTTCCTTTCCGCTATGGTGTTAGAAGTTGTGCTTCCTTTGCCATTTGTAGGATAGCTCAAGAACCCTTTGGTTTGGCCGAGATGCATTTGGTAGGCGGAGCCTGCTTGTTCACTGGCCTACAGAAGATGACCCAACCTTTATGCTTTCTTCTGTATCTCCTCTTTCACCTATTGAGAAGTTTTCTGGTATGTAACCTTTCAACTTTGAGTTATATAACGCTTTTATGGTCTATCCATTTTCTTTACTGCTTCACATGTGGCATCATTGATTTTAGATATAGGTGAGCTGTAGTTTTATTATTTTCTTGATTGCTTAAGCCTCTCATGGCTATGCCAAGTTAAATTTGGTTTAGTTAATATATTTGCAAAATCCTTGAGTGAAGTATTTTTTTTTTCCTTATATAAATTTCACTTAAGACTCTTTTATTACTTAGCAAGATATTAAATCTATGGTAATTTTATTAAGTGATTGATTACATCTCTATCCAGTGCATTCTATTTAATAAATATATTTACTTAGCATAATAATGATTACATAAAGCACGAGACATCTTAAAATCAAATAAGCACGTACTACAATTTTAGTGTAAACATATTGTCACATATTTTTCAATTCAAGTAGTTTACTATATGAAACATCTGATATAACATGGAGTTTATCACAGTTAAATAGGTATTTTAAATTCAAATGAACGTGGATGTTAAGCATGTATGTTAAATTCATATATATTATCCTAGTTTTCAGAGGATGTTACAGTACAAATCTTCTATTCTTGCACTTTTGGCTCCAATTCTGAGTACTACACGGATAAGAGCAGAATCTACTGTCACTGTTACACAACTAAGATTATTGGAACTACTGTTAAAAGCATACTATGTGCTATATCTCCTAGCATTGTGGTACTATGTTTCGGAGAAATGGTTCTGAAGCATGTGCAGATTCGGGATATTGTTATTAACGGGATACCATGAATGCTACTTATTTATTGACTGTTTATCCACCCTGTTCATTGTCGAAACTTTAAGGGTCCATGTCAAAAATGAAGGGCTTACGTCATTCATTTGTAAATTTAAATGTCTCAAAATTTTCCTGCCTAAATTTAATAAAATGCTAAGATAATTTTTTAAATCAAGCACTCATGACAATATGAAACTTTAGAGCCTTTCAACTGCCAACAATTTGGCGTCAACTTTCTAATTTTTCATCATGCCACATTTTCTACTATGTAAGAAAAATTATTTGTTGAGAACTGTGAAGATAAATAGCTTGGAGAGAGCCACTAATGATGGGATGTTTTATTAGATAAGAATGGTGTGATGTCAAATGTTAGGGTTATTTACATCTAGCTTAATCATCTTCTCTTTTTCCTCCCTTTTCTTTTTTCTCATGTTTTCACGCCACTTCAATTTTTTTGCTTGATATTTGGGCTATAAGTTTAATATATTTTCTCTCCTTTCAGATTTGTGTTTCTCTTAATGTTGTTTCTATCCTTTAAATATTATGAGGGTTTGTTCTTGGTTGGCACTGTTTGAATTGTTGAAATAAAACTTGCTATTATCGGAAATATTAAGTAAAATAAACCATGAAGCTTCAAATGGAACAGGCTATCTCAGTTACTGGGAAGAGCTACCATGCGGAATATACAGTGTACATGTTGAGGCATCAAATTCTAATCGGGGACTGATTGGTGAAGTCAGAAGACATGAATATACAAACTCAACGCTAAAGGAGCTTATCAAATGGGAGCGAACTTCTATTGAACCCAAACCTGAAGACCTTCGTACATCCCAATATGAGTCTTCTAGGATGCAACACAATGTGCATTCAACTCTGTTGGAGGCAGCTGCATGTGAGACAGGTAATTATCTTATTATATTGGCAGAATGTGGCATTGATTCATTTGAACTTGCTGCTTTTATAATGTACAGAACTTTGATTGAGGCTGCAGCTTTTGCTTTCAAGTCTTGTTAGGCTGTGATAGGTCTTCAATTTTTTCTTTTTGAGCAGGCCCAAATCAATTCTCATTGCCAGCTCATTCTCTGCTAAAGACTTTAAAGGAGTCTGTGTTTCGGCGCACTTCATTGTATACTATCTATCAGGTGTGGAATCTTAGTGAATTGAATCACAAATGTTGTAGTTGTATGTGGTTGATAAGATAGTGTAAATGTGATCAGTAGCTCCAAAATGGATCCCTGAATTCTCCATTTCTCCGCATAATTTGCTTGCCTTTAATTTTTGTCCGGCTGTTAGTGTACTTAAGCTGAATTTTATGTATTGTTTCTTGGGTTTTGTGATAGAGAGATGCTTCTGGATGGATAGAACATGCCACTGAAACATTTTAGCTCATATATGAGCTTTTCCAGTGGCTGTTTGCTGGCGGTTGTAGCTGATGCCAGTTATCTCCATAGACAGGAGGGTTAATTCATGTTATTTGCTAGCAAGCTAGAAAAAATGCAATAAACTGGTATTCTATGGGACAAAAAAGACTTCTGTTTTAATTTATTGCTAGGATTGGCATATCTGTTTTCTTGATTTCTTCTTGATAACCTTTTAGATGACAGGAACTTGTACTTTTCGATCTTGCTAATGCTGATACTTTTGAATTTGTGCTTGATCTGTCCTTTTCTTTTGGTTAATAGTATTTATATTTGTTATAGAACTCTATGGCTTTTTTTGTGGCATAGGCTACAATCTCTGATGTTGGACAAGAAGGTTATGTTCCTGTGGCTGTTCTGTTTTCTGGTGGCCTGGATTCCATGATACTTGCAGCATTATTGGATCAATGTCTAGATCCCTGCTGTCAGTGTTGCTACTTCAGCTCCTTTTGTTTACTGAGTTGACATTTAGTTCCTTGTTTGGTGTTAAAACAAATAGTGTTGGATAAAATGTTTGGCAAATTTCATTTTTAGGAACCTTCAGCATAGCTGATCGTCAATTCCTGTTTGTATTGGCAGATGAAATTGATCTACTTAATGTGAGCTTTGATGGCCAGTCTGCTCCTGATAGATTATCTGGCAAGGCTGGTTTAGAAGAACTAAGAAGAGTTGCACCTTCTAGAAGGTATGTACTTGCGACTTAAGTTTTCCATAGATATGTTTTTTGTGCTCTTTTTTTTTTTTAGGTGTATTATCGGAAAAATCTTTTGCTGGAATGTAAATGTTAGCTCCTGTTACTCACTTATTTTAAAACTGGCTCTATGCATAACTTTGAGCATTTTATGCACGTATTTATATGGAGAGGTTTAAAATTTATTCTGAAATACTAAGTTCTACTTGTTATTTTGGATGAGTGATTTTATAAACGAGTCAGGGAAATGCTGGATTTCTCATCTTATTCCATAGAATAGGGAAAAGAGAAGCCTTTTTTCTGAGTTCAGAAGTGATCCAAAAGGCATGTTCTGTACTGCATTGATTAGTTGAAAATTTTCATTTTTGTAATTAAAATGAATTCCACAAGTTTAATTAGAAATAGAGGCAAATCTTACAAATTCCTTGAACATTGGATGCTACATATTGAATGAATATTTGACAAACCCAAGCATCTGTTGAGATCAATTCGTATATGTAGGTTTGGAATTTTACGAATGCAGTTGTGAGGTTCAAAGTGACTTCGCAATATTTAAATTTTCGCATACCTAGGTGGGAACAAAGGTATAAGGAAGCTGTATTTGGATATTTTTTATTTGAAACAAGATCAAAGTAAAATCCAACTGCAATTAAAATTTTGCTGATTGATTGATAGAGCTCAATGGCATGTAGCCGATCCCACTTAATGGTATAAGACTTTATTGTTGTTGTGATCTTATTGCATAAGACAAGTGAAAAAAATTGTAATCATGGAAATATTATTGAAGACTATAATTGAAACTCCTAAGTTTGATGTTGCATTTATATATAAAGAATTTTTTAACCTTTAAAATATATCTAAGAAACAGTAATTCACCATAAGAGGGGAAGGATATTCTTTGTTAACGTTTTGTGGACTATCCTGATTCATCATTATAATAATTCATATTATCTTTGCTATTTACATAACCCTTTTAAGGTAATCAACATATCATGGAGTCAAATTTCTGTGTGATAATGCCTTGGGTTTAATATGATTTTATTGTCCCCCCTAAGTAGAAGTCCATGCTTCATTTTATAAGTTTTTGCCTCCAGGAAGCATATATTTGGTACATTAGTGATGAATATCATGAGCCTTGACTGTTAATTGTCAAGGATAATGAAGGATAAAAGAGGTTTTTGTTTGAGTTCGCGAAACTTATGAAGTACATCTTGCTTGCTTTGTTTATATGGTTTCTACTGTTACGATTATGTCGTTAGTGTCATGTATAATGTGACTGACCTGTTAAACACTATTCATTGTATTTTTTTTTTTAAAAAAAATTGTTGGTGTCTCTAAATGTTCAGTTACAACTATGTTGGAAGTGCAGGTGGAGGCTCGTTGAGGTTGATGCCGAATTGTCTGACTTGGCTTTTGAAACAAGTCATGTTATGTCACTCATAGAACCTGCAAATACTTACATGGTACTAATTTAATTATGTGGACCAGCAATTTATTATGCGGAGATTAAATTTTGCTAGTGTTAGCATAATAAAGAAAGAATCCAACATGCCTTTTCTTCTGTTCTTTTCTCAAATTCATTTGAATTGATCTTAACTTTAATTCTCTTCAGAGCCTTTCAAGGTTATAGTGATTTCTCTTCAGAGCCTTTCAAGGTTATAGTGATACAGTTCTTCAGAAAATTATAAAACTGAGAGAGAAAAAGTGGGTCCTCTTTAAAATTATCAACGTGTCCTTTATGTCAGATGAACTACTATTTCTGATCTGACCATGCATAAGTAGTTTGCACTTATCCTTACAGGACTTGAATATAGGAATTGCTTTATGGCTTGCTGCTCGTGGTGATGGATGGGTGTCTGATGGAAATAGTGATGGCAATGACAACAATCTTGCACGTATTAAATACAAGTCCAAAGCAAGGATTTTACTTGTTGGTTCTGGTGCTGATGAGCAGTGTGCTGGCTATGGTAGACACAGAACAAGTTATAGACGAGGAAGGTATTGATATGATAATGGTAAATCATGGCAATTTCTTTGTGCCTCCTGTGTTCATTTGATTCTCTATTATGGTATAAATCAGCATGGATTATATGATTGGTTGGATTCAATGCTTTTATAATTGTGATTTCTTTCATCTTTCTATTTTGTTATATGAGTGACTTCATATTACAAATGGGGGGAAAAATGTTAAGACTCTGGAACTTTCTGCGGGAAAGAAAGTCAGGGATCATATTATTAAAAACTTACAATGAAGTGAATGCTGTAATTAATTTGAACTTTCAAGAGCTATTCAGATAACAGGGTATAGTACGTACTGACAACTAATTAATGCTTTGGTTATTGACATGGGGGGTTGACCTTGTATTCATTTTGATAGTGTTATAAATGCTTGCTTAGAGCAGGGAACGTTATGGAAAGTATTAAGTGTTCAGTGGACAGTTCCAAACTGGCAAACTCTCCAGGTCAATTAGTTTTTCAATACATTCTGATGTTACCATGTGCCTTTTTCAGTTGGCTGGAGCTTGATAAGGAAATGAAACTGGACATACAGAGAATTTGGAAAAGAAATTTAGGGAGAGATGATAGATGCATTGCTGATAACGGAAAGGAGGTAAGGTGAATATAATAGGTCAAATATCAGTAGTCATTTTGTCTCAGTTCACCTGCCAGTAACTCTAAACGTTTTTCCTTCTAACATTCTAGGCTAGATTTCCTTTTCTGGACGAGGATGTCATGAGGATTTTGCTCAATTTTCCTTTGTGGGAGGTCACCAACCTTGATCAACCAAGCGGAATTGGTGATAAAAAGATTCTAAGAAAGGTATTGCCATTTATGTGCTGGGTTTTGATGATCTAGTATTGTCCTGGCTTACAATTATTATGAATGGTTTTGTAACTATGAATATGCTACTGGTTAATAGTGATTTTGTGTTTGTCTACTATCATAAAAAGCACTTTTTGACTTGAAAGTGCTTTAGAAACTAATTGAAATAGCTTCTCCAAATAATTAAAGAAAAATACCAAAGTTTTTTAAAAGTGTTCTTCTAAAGGAAAAGTGATATATTTCCATGGAAAAAGCTCAAACAAATGGACCTCAAAGTATGTAAAGGTTAACTGTGCCCATGTTTTCCCCTCAAAATCTTAGTGATTACCTCACATCAATTAGTAATCTCTGGTTGGTAACAAGAGCTTGCAGACATCAACGAACATAAACAGCTTTCAGGACCCATGAAGGATGTCACCTCTTGCTTGCTCTTGTGATATTGTGATAGAGTCAGCCTATTTAAAAATACCTATAAGAGGCGATACAGGCAGAATCAAGGAAAAGGCAACAACCCATTCTGAGCATGCAGGGAGTTGACTTCTGACTCCTACTAATTTGGAGAAAGCAGTATACTCTAGTATCTTTTAGGTCTCTTGTAGGTCTGTGTCCTAGATTAATGTTTTATTTAGGAGACTGTGCTGTTAGTTTTGGACAGGTTATTAGCCGTTGCTTTTTGGGAGAGGGGGGCAGGTATTGTTTTGAGGTATCTTCGGCAGGGAGAGTGCTAGCCTCTCGAACGCTAGGTCCAGGGATTATTTTGAGAGCCATTGATGTATTCCAGTCTGTAACTTCTTCCTTGTCCCACTGAGAAGGAAGTTTTGATTAATATTATTCATATTCGGCATCTTGTGATCTATTTCTGTTCTGGGTCTTATCATATTGATATATCGGTAAAATTGTTTTCCTGGATATGCAAAACAATAGATTTTATTGCAGTAGTTAATATATCAGATAATTTCCATTGAGTTTTCTGACACATTTATTTTAATTTTTACTAGATTATGAGCTCTTATAAATATAAAATGAAACTAGAGCAATTCTGATCAAAGTTTGAATCTTGTGCGTAACATTTTTCGTGAAGGTTGCACAATTACTTGGTTTACATGAAGCGGCAGTGTTGCCCAAACGAGCGATCCAGGTTTGTATCTCTGAAAATTGCTACACTTCCTGTCTCAGGTTAAAATGAATGAAGTAACAGGATCTTAAAAGTTAGGGCATAGTAATAGAAGAAAAGTTATTTGTGAAAAATACCTAATTGAAAATACAATTTTATGAGGGACTAAACTGATGTTGGTGTTGATTTTGATTTGTTGATAAAGCATCTTAGATACCGTAGAGCAAAAGGAAAAATGCATATAAAATGCAATGCCACTATGCTTCTTTATCCTTCATTGTACTGTTGTGTCATTGTTAAACGTTAGTTTTACTTTTACCTCTCCTCTCAGCAGCTTGGTGATTAATTAGTGTTTGTTTCTTTGAACCGAATTGTATCGATGTAGTTCGGTTCCAGAATTGCGAGGGAGTCCAATCGCAAGAATTTCGGAAGTAACCGGGCTGCAAATCAGGCATCCGCTGGCAGTGTGATGATTCACAGTAAATCCAACCTGAGTTGATTCCTTATTTCCTCATCTTTTGACCCACAACACCTATCGCCTTAATCCAGAGCACCTTGTTTAATATAAGCTTCAAAAAGATATATCTTTGTTTCTCTAACATCAATTCAAATCATGAGTATTGTGAAGCAAAAAAACTCATGTAGGTCTTCTTTCTTTCTTTCTTTCTTAGTTTTTTTTCCCCCCGAGTGAAAAGGGTCTGCTGTTAGTTGTATGGCTTAATCATTGCCTTATGGCCTTTGATTTATTTTTATATAAAGAAAAATCAGCTCAGATGGAGCAAATACCGAAGTGTATGTAGCATCTATTTTTCCCTGGAAATTTATGGTCATGTTGGATTTAAAAGAGAGTTGGAATAATTTCCCTCGAGGATTGAAGGGAATTATTGCATTTTTTATCACATTCCATCTTTCTTAATGTGAGATGGATGTTGATGAAAGAAGTCCATTTTTCTGCTTGTAATCTTGACTTTGTTCTTTTGTATTAATGGGTATATAGTTTCTACTCTAAAAAAGAAAAAAAAAATCCTTGCAACTTGCTATGTGACTTTTTAATTATATATCTCACATTCATCTACCTAAGGAGATAAAATATGTAAAATGCATTGACACTTTGGCATCACCCCCTTGCTCCTTAAAATATGAAATTGAAATATATTGGACTGCACACCAGAGAAATATTGATGCACAAACATAAGAAGACGGATGCTTCTATAGCATATCGAAGCCGTAACAATAAGCTATCATAGCGATTGACATATAACATAATCAAAAACTACAATACATAATTGATGATGTTAAAAACATTACGGGGAAGTTTGAATACCCTGATATTCAATTAAAAATTTTCACGCATGTAAAGATAATTTTTTTTACATACTTTTATACACTGTCACACGTCTAGATCTCTTATTATATCCAAGCCTACGCCAGCTTCTGCGGTGACACCATATGCATGAACTCAGGGTCCCTTCCCATGGCTTCCAATATTTCATGGGAAGCACACATCTCAAAGTGAAAGCTACCTTCTTCTGCTCCGGCATCAGCCGCCAGCTTCCAACACCTTGTGTTGGCGGGACCAAGGTGAATCGCCACCGGCCTTCCCCAACCAAAGTCAATGTCATAAAATTTGGTACTAGGGGAGCTACAAGTTCCCATGAACTTCCCAATTGTGGCACGTTGTGTGCGGAATGTTGGATTTTGTACCCAAGCTTCAAAGTCTCTCTTGATCTTCTCTTCTGTGCATGATGAGATTGCCTTGTTCAACTCCAAACCAAACTTCCCAAGGCCTCCATCTCCCACCAAGTCCCTTACTTTCATTGTCACAGTAGTGAATTGCACGGTGGGTCCAAAATAGTTGTCTGGAATTGGTGGGTAAGAAACTTTGGATCTAGCATATATGAGGAATCTGTAAGTGACTTCTTCTTCTGGGTCAAGCTTCTGATTTCTGATTGCAGACCTCCAAACCTGGCCTAGCACAGCATGCAAGGAGGAGATTTTGTTGCTAACGACACCATCCTCTACTTGTGAGTTAGCTTTTGCTTCGAGTTCAGCAATTTTTTCCTTTTTAAAGTGAAAGAACCTCCTAGAGAATGGGGGTGGCTGGACCAAATTAGCTGACGCCTTGCTATAATTCTCCATCATTTCTTTGAATGGAATTTGCAGGGGGCGTTTAATATTATCACTAGGGAACCACCTTTCAAATGTAGCGAGGTTTGAGTCAGACCTTACGTGATTCAAACCATTTCTGGAGAACCCTGCCCATGCATTCCAGAAATCTCAAGCTGGCTTCACATCAACAAGACTATGGTTGGTCGAGTAAGCGACAAAGATGCCATCCACTAGCTCTGTGACTTGAACCGCCATTAATGGGACCTGAGTTCCTTCAAAGTTCTTGAATTTTCCAGTTGGGAAGAAGGAGTAGAGAATTTGTGGAACATAAGTAGGTTCAACAATATCAGCAATTGTAGTATTCTCTGCAACAGCATGAACAAAGCTTACTCCGGCATTGTTGCAATTGATGAAGACGGAGGAGGTGTCATCGTCGTCGTTGTCGATGATGGCAAGACGGCCGGCGAGGGGTGGGTAGAAGTCGAGGGCCATAGAAAGCGAGTCCTTCAAGTGCTGGATCACTGTCTCTGAATGTTGGAACGACGAGGATGATGAAGTGGGTTTGTGATAAAGAAGCCCCTTTTGAGCATACTCAAGAACAAGATACTGAAGATCCCATGGATTCATGTCAATTAGTTTTGGTGAGTCGCCATTATTAACGTGGCTTCGAGCTTGAACTGTGGTTGTGGAGATCACTCTGATGGCTTCCATGGGGGATAAAGTTCCTGCTGTTTCCCTCCGCGATTGATTTAATACGCCGCAATTGCTTTCAATAACCTATTAAATTGTGAACCAGATAGTTATGGAACAGGTGAGCGTAATTGACGGGGGACCCAATAGTTGAATCATGTTATATATTAATTGTTTTTAACTAATTGGCCAGATGGGAAAACTACTCCCTCCGTCTCTAATTATAAGATCTTTTTTTTTTAATGGATTTGTCTATTTTTATAAGGTCTCTTTTAAGTTTATCTAAACATTTAATGCATTGTTACTTATTTTATCCCTAATGAATTTCATATATTACATTTTCTCTCTATTTATCTCATTATTATTCTCTTACATTTATTAGGAGTATATTTGAAAAAAAACTTACATTTGTTACATATTAATTACTTTTAACTAATTTTAACTATTTTCTTAAAAAGCATAATTTGACCAAAAGATTCTTATAATTAGGGACGGAGTAGTACTAATTTTGTTTTCTATTAGCCAAGTGCCATAAGTGCCGGGGAGCAGATATATGTGATATGTATTTTTTTAATTTTATATATGATTCTAAAATACATGCGTTCTTTATTATTCATCTTTTTATCATAAAATTTTGAAGCAGGTAAGATCATATAGATTTTGTTTTTTGGGACAGAAGTAAGATATCATATAGATTAGATACCTACTTTTGTTTTAATAAAAGTTTACTTTTAGTTTTTAATTAGAAAAATCAATATTTTAATCCTTATGATAATCATCATTGAGTTATCTGATACAAGAAAACATATAATTAAAATCATTAAACATTGTTCTTGGCCTTTCCATCAATATCCATCCATCCATCCTCCTCATTCACCATCATTACCCCATTTGATCCTAACATCACCAACTCTCCAATCAAGATCATTCTTCCTGTTGCTCGCATTCTCGCAAGACTCTGGTCTGAGAACAAGACACCATAGCTTCGAGGCTCGCCGTCTTTTATGGCCAATGAGAAGAGGTAATTTAGATTAGTGAGCTTCACCACCTGCTTGTCCTTCGTCAAAAGCCATGGAAGGTCACTAGCAATGAGTTTTGGCTTGCTTGGAATGGCAGTAGATTCCTGTAAAAGTGATTTTTTAGTCGTAACTAGATTGTGCTATCCCGTGCAACGTACAGGAGCTATTACTATAGAATAAATAAACATGTCAGAAGATTTTTGTTTCAAACTATGTGAATAAGTGTTTTTTTTTCTTTTTACCAGCATGTAAATAAGTAGTGGATAGTAGATGAGAAGAGAAGAAGATTTCTCAAAACTTTTTAAAACAAAAAAATAAAAAACACAAAAACAAAAACAAAAACAAGAAAGCATTTAAAAGTTGTTTTGGTTTTTTGGTTTTTAAAAACATGTTACTTTTTTTGTTTTTAAAACAATTAACTAAAAATAAGTTACCAAACAAGTTTTTTTGTTTTTTTATTTTTAAAAATAAAAAATTATTTTCAAAACAAGAAACCAAACAAACCTTAATTCTCTCCTTTTAAATTGCATTCTTTTTATTTGAAATAAGTAGTGTGAATACCAAATATATTAGTTTATGTATCCACAAGTAATAAAAAAGTGTCCTATTATTGTCTAAAGCATGGTACATTCAACTGATTTCTCCTTTGGTAGCTCATTATCGCGCGCACAAGTCGTCGTCTTCTCTTCGCCAATTCATGAGCTGCACTCACAAGAAGATGATATTTATACTCTTGAAATCACACCCAAACAACATGGGACTTTTTATTAGAAAAATAGTAAATAAAGATTCCTAATATATGAAATTGCGATTTAGGACCTTCAATTTGAAAAATGACAAATAAAGACCTGGTTCCATATTACAAATATGAAATCTTGATGAAATATCTAAAATGTCTCTCAGCCAAATTGTGATTTGGTTTACTGAAATTGTCATTCGTTATAGTGAACCTGTTATTTCCCATAGTTAACTTGTCATTTGGCATACGCTCAGCCAATTTGTGATTTGATCTATTAAAATTGTTATTTGTTAAAGTGAACTTGTCATTTCCCATAGTTAACTTATCATTTGGCTGAGGAGCATTTCAGATATTTTATCAAAATTTCTTATTTGTAATATGGGACCGGATCTTTATTTGTCATTTTTTAAATTAAGGGATTCCAATCATAATTTCACATATTGGGAAGTCTTTATTTGCCATTTTTTTTCCTTTTTTATTTGACACATCTACGCAATATCACAACAAAACACATCATACCATAATACCGATATCATCATATAAGACTTTTTTCTTTCATGGAATTTATTTTAGCGGTTCTTACCCTCCCATAATAATTAGGAAAAAGAAAAGAAAAGAATTTGAAAGTACTCCTCTCCAATTCAGTACACATGTCACTTTCTAAGGGGGGGAAAATGATAGTCATCGTTCTAAGTCACTTTCCATGAAAAAGATAAACTACTAATGCTTTTTTTTTTTTTTTTTTTTTTATGATGAGTAGGGCAAGAGGTTGCATGTGAAAGAAATACTTCTCCGGTTCTTAATATAGAACTCAATTGTTAAGTTAATTTTGGTCCTAAATATAAGACCCATTTATCATATTTATCTATTTTCTCTAAATTACCCCTATAGATACTCCCTCAATCATAATCAAGTAAAAGAATGAGAGGAGGTATTAAAAAAGATGATTATGGTGTTTTAGGAAAAATGTGTCACATTTCTCATAATTAACTAACTTACCTAACTTTCTTAATCTAATCAAATTAGTTAAATGGATCTTATATTAAGGATCGGAAGAGTAGTTTTTAAGGATGATAAATTCAAGAAGGGTAAATTAAAATAGTTAAAAATAACTCATATATATACACAAACTATTTGGTAATTATAATAGGGGTAAAAAAAATAGAATATTTTAATTTTTAAAAATAATGCTAACTCTCTACACTTTATATCTAGGGTATAAAGTTAAATTTCATTTTTACTTAAATTTAAAAAAAAAATTTTACACTCGTTGGTGTCAATAACTAATGTGAAAAATTATTTACAACTTTTTTAAACAAAAATTAATTAAATTATCGGTCTCCGTGTTTTTCGCCCACTGACTTGGTGGCTGAACGTTCTTCTTATTTCCCTAATCAGTAATCTCTAGTTCACTACTGTTGAGGCCACGGGCAGGGCCGTATTACAATAGAGCTACCTAGCCTACTCATTGGCGAGAACCTTCGGCCTCCGGTGAAAGCGTACCCTTTTCGTCTCTGCCATCTGAGCTCAAATGGAAAGCCACAGTAGCAGTACCGAATACCGGTGGAAAGCTGAAGACGCCATTGCTGGCAACGCGAAAGCTCTTCAAGCTCTGAGAGAGCTCATCATATTCCCGCTTCTCTACTCCCACCAAGCCAAGAAGCTCGGTATCAAAGTAAAGCTTCTTCCTTTCTCTCTATCCCTCTTTTCCCTTTACCGTTTTGGGTTCAAGCTATGAACACTCCCACATCATATATATATGCTTAAGTGCTAGAACTGCATGATTATGATTAGATGAATTCATCTCTTTCTAGGCCACTGTTGTGTTTATTGCTTTTTTGTTTTTTTGTGCTTTCAGTGGCCACAAGGTTTGCTGCTGTACGGTCCTCCAGGCACTGGAAAGGTAACTTCTTCAAATGATCCATTCAATTTAACACGGTACAGAGGTGTGGACCAACCCTGTTCCTTCCATTGTATTGGTTGGTAGATATAAACAATAACGTAATTTCGTCCTTGAAGTAAAGAACAGTGTTGAATTCGTGGTTTAATCATATCTTGCCTTCAAATGGTGAGGCGTTTTTTATTTCTGATCTTGAACGCCATGTATAATCTGTTATGATACTAATCAAGTTGTTTTTGAAGCTTTAATTAATTGTTTTGTATACAAATATTTGTATATCTTGTGAACCTTCCAGTTCGAGTCATGCGACGCAATGTCCTGTTTGGTTTGCTTTCTGTTCAGTATGGCTTCATGGGTTACCCAGTGGGAGGTTACCTTTAGTTGGAAAATGCTTGGTTTAGGCTTTAAAATCAATTCAAGTTTATTGCATTTCTGGTATCTTTCAACAGCAATGAGTAATTAAGATTGATAAGATAACCGGATGATTTTGCGATATATTGTTCTTAATGGTTTAGAATTATCATTTTGTTTCGCTAATTCAATTTCATATTTAATATTTGATGTCTCATTGCTATTGCAGACAAGTCTAGTACGAGCCGTTGTTCAGGAATGTGGAGCACATTTGACAATCATCAGGTTCTTTCTTTCTTTCTTTCTTTTCCTTTTTTTAAATTTATGTTTGGGGATCTTGTGTTCCAGAGCTCTAGTCTACGTGAGTTGTCTGTCGTTATTTTTCTGTTTATGTATTTTGCAGTCCTCATTCTGTCCATAAAGCACATACTGGGGAAAGCGAGAGAATTCTCCGCGAGGCCTTTGCACAGGCATCATCTCATTCAACTTGTGGCAAGCCATCAGTTATCTTTATAGATGAAATAGATGTACTTTGTCCTCGGCGAGATTCAAAGTAAGGGGCAACTGGTAACTGTTCTGTTTTATATTTATTTAATTTTTCTCAGCATTTGCTTCATCTGTGTCATAAAGTGTTTTGCTATATTGAAATGACTTGTAAATACATCATCACAGTTTTGTCATAGTAGAGAAAATGTTATATGGTGTTTAGTAGAACTCCCCACCCATAATAATTAGATTAGTGATGATAGCATTAAAAGTTCTCCATTAAGTTAATGGAGCAACCATTACTAGGCTAATTTCTTTGCTGACGCATTCTGAAGGAAAGATGGCCTTTGGCAGACTTTATAATTACAAGTCATGGTCACAAACCTGTGATATGATCATGTTTGGTCACCATGACCGTCTATAGTGGTCTTAATCATGGGCAAGAAATCAGTTTGCTATTGTCGTTTCAGAAGAAAAAATCTTAATTTTTTTTCCTACTACACGGAACTTGTTTTATTTTACTTTATTTACTTGTAAAATATTTGAGCTAGTGTAATATTGATGAGTTCTAGAAAATTTTTAATTTCATATGTATAAACATTTGCCATAAATTCACCAAAAAACATTTGCGATGATATCTTCTATTAAGCAAAATACATGGCTTGAACTGATTTTAGTGAATTCAGAGATAATATACTTATGCATGCAGCATGCATACTAATTTCATCTTTTTTTCACTTCATTATTCTCCATATTCTCTACATGCAGGAGGGAGCAAGATGTTCGGATTGCTTCCCAGCTTTTTACATTGATGGATTCAAATAAACCATCCTCATCCACACCAAGAGTTGTTGTCGTTGCATCAACTAACAGGTTGTCTTTTCTGTTCTAAAAGGTTGATATGTACAATTATATGAATTGAAATGATAACGGTTTAATGTGTATTGGTCCTCACCGTTTAGAATTATTTATTTGTATCTGTTTTTTTCAACCTACATGCTGTGCTTAATATCTGGCTGAATGTGAATATTTATTATACTATGTATATGATGCTCTATGTGGTTGTTACAACAAGAATGTTTTGATTATCTGGCGTTTTAGAGCCTTTTTGCATGCCTTGATGGATCACTTAAGATTCACGTGCTCGTATACAATATTCTGTCATTTAGAGCCTTTCTTCCTGGAAGTGATGCTAGAACCTGGAAATTTCCTATTAGTCCTGATTCTTTGAAGCCTGTGGTCTTAATAGTAGAATTCTGGTGTCTTTTACAACTGTTTTAGTCTGGTCGCTGCAGCTCTATTTGTTGTTATTTATAAAATTTATTTCTGCATTTAATCTGGTTTCTGCATACTGCATACAGGGTGAATGCAATTGATCCAGCCCTTAGAAGGTATGGACGCTTTGATGCTGAAATTGAAGTTACTGCCCCAAATGAAGAGGAGCGTTTTCAAATTCTTAAGGTTTTATGTTTTGAAATGCTGATGGAATTCTGCTATCAACTGCTTAATGATAAAAGATTAAAAGTCATCCTTGAATTTTTCTACCATTTAGCTGTTTTGTAGGATTCTTGATTTCTAAAGTTCAACCGTGTCAGCTAATCTGATATCTAACAACTGACTTTCAGCTTTACACAAGGAAGATTCCCTTGGATCCCAGCGTTGACCTAAAAATGATAGCTGCATCTTGCAATGGATATGTTGGGGCTGATTTGGAAGCCTTGTGCCGTGAGGCTACTACATTAGCAGCTAAAAGGTCCGGAGATGCAAATGGAAATGCTGGTCACTTAAGCATAATGATGGAAGATTGGAACAATGCGAGATCTGTTGTTGGTCCAAGCATAACAAGAGGTGTTACAGTGGAAATTCCTAAAGTGACTTGGGATGATATTGGCGGATTAAAAGAATTAAAGGTTTGTACTTTGTAAATTATACATTTGACATCACTCTGGTATCAACCGAGATTAATGGTAGTTGTCTGTATCCTTGAGCAGAAAAAGCTTCAGCAAGCTGTTGAATGGCCTATCAAGCATTCTGAAGTATTTTCTAGATTGGGCATTTCCCCAGTGCGAGGGATTCTCTTGCATGGGCCTCCAGGATGTTCCAAAACAACCCTTGCCAAAGCTGCTGCACATGCAGCCCAAGCTTCTTTCTTTTCCTTGAGGTTTTAACAATTTTCTATATTTTATTAGGGTTTCCCTCTGCCTCATGTGAGTGTCTTTGCATGATTAAGACTTGGTATTCATCTCATATGGAGCAAACCAATGGATGCAACTGGGTCATATTTATTCACATATAGTCTTTTAGGTCAGAGAATTGACAACTAGTTATATGAAGTCCTCCAAAACATTATCGTTGCTCCTGTACACGAGAGTTGCTTGCTCTTGGAATCTCTTTCATTTCAACTATTTGTTCTTTTTTATCTTTCTACCCCTTCCATTGACATGAGATACTTTTGATACTTTTTTGAAATATATGTTGATCCTTGAAAGATACTCCTATCATCAATTTCATCCTTAAAAGTTTATATATATTATTATCAATTTAATCCTTTTTGTAAATAAAATTTTTAAGTCCTGACCTTTGCTCACTTAGGATTTAATTGATAACTATAAACTTCTTGTTCGTGACAAAAATGATGTATTTCTAAAACCTTAGAACTGAATTAATGACAATAAACTTCTAAATCAAAACTAAACAAATTAATGACCATAGACTTTCAAGGACTAAATTGATAATTGTGGTCTCTTTCAAGGATTCATATGGTAGTTAAACTCTAGTCTTTTTATCCTATTTATAAGTCACTTTCAACATGTTTCACACAATCCAAGGAAAACTTTAAATTTTATTATCATTTAAAATTTAACAATTTTTCAACTTTATCCCTATTTAATATATATTATATTTCATGTAAATAAAGTCAACACAATAATAAATGAAGGGTAAAATTGGATATCCATACAAAAAATTTCTCTCGGTGCCCTATAAATAGGTTCAAAAAATATCTTCTCTCTTTACCCTATAAATAGGACCATAGGGGTACTTTCCTTACATCAATGATCTCATACTTTGATTTGTTTTATATTCTGTTGATCCATATGATTGTATTTCTATTTAAAGCATTTTTTTGCAATTGAGTTTCCATGCAAAATTTATTTATAAGAGATGAAAAACCTTAAAATGATAGATGATGGGTTAGTGGTGCAGAAATGTATTCGATGTATGTAGGAGAGGGGGAAGCATTGCTTCGGAATACATTTCATAGGGCACGGCTTGCAGCACCCAGCATAATATTTTTTGATGAGGCTGATGTGGTAGCCGCAAAACGGTGAGTTGCTAATCTGTTTTAAGGATTTCTCTGCATATGCAATCTATGCTAAACATGATTGTGATGTGCTGTGGGGATTTTATTATTGCTTTATAATTCCTGTGACAAACCATCGAAAAGTGAATTATTGTCATAGAGACTAAGGAGGTATAAGCTGCTTAGCCCCACAGTAAATAATATGGGTTGTTCTTTGGTGTATATAGTGGATTTAGTTCTCTCACTTGTAGCTCCCCGCCTTCCCATCCCTCATGGAAAGGGGGTTGTTCCCTATCTCTCTTGGAGTACTTAAGTGGCTCCATAAAGGACTAATTATAGGTTTCTGATTGGTGCAAAAGTCGATTGACGTGTACCTGTTGGGATGTCAGCTTTCCTAGGTAGTCAATTGAGATCATGGTAGTATAGGTTATTTAGTCTCGTGTTGAGCAACGCATGATATTTAATAGGGTACTCGAGTAGGTTGGTTCTTCTGCCCCATGCATGATTTTTGGAATATGTTAATCAGTACACAAGTGCTTAATATATAGTTAATGGTTACTTTGCAATTTTTTTGCTTTCATTTTTTTGCTTTCTTATCTTATACTTCTCCGGTTCTTAATGTAGGACATAATTGTTGAATTGGTCTTGGTCCTAAATGTAAGACCTGTTTATCATATTTATCAGTTTTTCTCAAATTACTCTTATTGATACTCTCTCAACTATAATCAAGTAAGAAAGGGAGAGGGATATTAAGGAGGATGATTATGGTGTTTTAGGAAAAACATGTCATATTTCTTATAATTAACTAACTTACCTGACTTCTTTAATCTAATCAAATTAATTAAATAAATCTTATATTAAGGACCGGAAGAGTATTGCTTATTTCCCGGTTGGAGCAAAATATGCCCTTCTTGATTATAGTTAATATCCTTATGCATGACCCTTCCCTGCCGGACTGTTTTATTTTTCAAAACAACTTGATCCTGCATATACTATTTCAAATACATGTATATGAGATTCAAAAAGGTGCTTGATTTAATATAAGCATGTGCGAGGATTTTAGTGCACCCATTAGTTTATGTTGATTCTGCAGTTTTTTTTTCCTTGTTTCTAAACTCATCAATATAAATTTTTATGGTGGCTTTTCTGAAGAACTTGTTTTTTCAAGTAGTTTCTATATCATCCATTTGAACTATAAAATCCATGCTTAGTTTAATTATGATTGCATGACGTATCCATGGAGAACCAGACATACTACGCATGACAAATAAGTGGATATGCATTTGACAATGTTCTCGAAAAATCCAGTAAATTGTCTTCTAAGAACGTTGTATCATATTTCTGGTGAAAAATTCTGGGAAATAATAATGTAGAGAGGAAAGTCAGCTGTGGAAAAAAACCAAATTGGACCATTGAAAGTTAAGTTCTTTTTTGACTTCATTGATGCAAATTTTTTGTGCATTGGAGCAGAGAATTTTTTTTCTATTTCCTGTGCATAAGTGCTGATTTGAAGTTCTCCCTTAACAGGGGTGATTCTTCAAGCAATAGCAGTACGGTTGGAGAGAGGCTTTTATCCACCCTCCTGACTGAAATGGATGGTTTAGAAGAAGCTACAGTAAGCTTTCTGTGATTGCTTGTGTGTGTACTGTTGCTTATGAAAACTTGTTATTCCTTCCTTAACCTTCAGTTGTCTCTTATAAATCCGTGTATCTGACTATAAGCTGTATTGAAAGAATAAAGTACACGTTACATGAAATGATAATTTTTCTTTCAATCAAGTTCCTATTCTAGAGAATGGCGGTGGTCTTCTGGTTCTCCCTTACATTATGACTATATCCATTGTCAATTTTCAGGGAATCCTTGTATTGGCAGCCACAAATCGCCCTTATGCAATAGACGCTGCACTAATGCGCCCGGGACGTTTTGACCTGGTGAGAACTAGTATATGCTACCTAACACCCCCCCCCCCCAAAAAAAAAAAATCCATACTTGTGATTCACACGGTTTTGTTCTCAATATAAAGTTTGCATGTAGCTATGTTCAGCTGAAAAACTGAGATTTATGAAAATGTTGAGAAACCAACCAAAGTGAGAGACTCCTAAGAAATTAGGAGTTGATTGTTTTTATCTCCCAGCATCATCTTTAATCTTAGTTAGTACTTTTCTTCATTATTATAAACAAATGGAAAGTGGCGGATTCAAATATTCTATCTCACTCGTCTTTTTTTTTTTTCCCCTTTTTTTTTGGTGGGCTGAATTGATAGGTGCTGTATGTGCCCCCACCTGATTTGGAAGCTCGATATGAAATACTCTGTGTACATACACGTGGCATGAAGCTAGGGAATGATGTCAATCTCTGTAGACTAGCAGAAGATACGGAGCTATTCACAGGTGCCGAACTTGAGGGTTTATGCAGAGAAGCCGGAATCGTTGCTCTAAGAGAAGACATATCAGCTACTGTTGTGTGTGACCGCCATTTTCAGGTTGTGAGAAATTCTGTGAATCCAGCATTAACAAAAGAAGAAATTGATTCCTATTCATCTTTCATGAAGACCTCGTCTTCTGCATTTTCTAGGCATGTAGAATCAAGTTCAAAACATGATAGAAAGAAAAGTAGTAACATTTTAGGCTCCATGGTTAAACTTGGTATTGTCAGCTGTATGCTACTTGTTGCTGCTAAATACTTTTTCGTGCATGAAGAACAATCTGTAAATGAAGTGGCTGTCACATGAAGAATGTATACCATTTTGTTTGTAGCCTTACTGTTAGCTCGGTTTAACATTCAAAATCCATTGAAGTACATGTTTCTGGTTTTTTCTTATTTTGGAATCTATGCTTTTTGCAGATTTGATCTGATCTGATCCAAACTCCTTATTAGTTCTTCAATTTGATTTTGTTAATTGGCGTTCGGTATTTGAGAATTGGGAATTTAGTTTCAATAAGAAATTTGAATAAAGCCTCTTGCCCCTAGTTTTCCTCACATTAATTTGGCCTAAGGCTATGTTAAACCATACATGTCTATAAATGCACAGATGCCTAGTAATGATAGGTATCGTTCTTTCATTGGTGTTAATAAATTTGGTATTTGTGTTTCATGTGTCCTTGTTTGTTTATGGTATAGTCCTTCTGGTAGTCACAATATTGTCACGATAATATAAAGGAACAAGTTAAAACTTGCAGGGAAAAAATTCTAGTCATTCATTTGCTTTATAAAAATAAAAATAGTTAATTATTTATAGGGAAAAGTTTGAAAATACTGAAATAGTTAATTAAGTATATTTAATGAATAAATGTGAACATAAATTAAAAAACTTTTTTTTTTTATCTCAACATATGCTCGCTTTCCCATCTACCAAGAACTCAAGTTTTATAATTTTCACGGCATGTTTAGCATTCAAAACATGAATCCAAACAAAGTCTTAAGTTTTTAGACTCATTAGTAGATACTAAACAACTCAAATAAAAGATAGATAATTTGGCCTAAGGCCTTATTAAAAGCTGAAAATGCAAAATTATAGATCTATACAAGTGTGCGCGCGCGCGTATGTAGAATGCAAACAACTTGAAATGATGCAATTGGAATTTGATTTGAAGCCTTCATGCCATCTTAAGGCCTTGCGCTATGCAATTTGATGGGTCTTCGCCACTCTCTACTTTTTCAAGCTTTCACGGCCTATAATATGACTTTTAATATTTTTTCCTTTTATACAAGAAACAAAAATACAATTTATATTTTGGATTCAATCCTTAGAATGGTGTATATGGAACAAACACTATTGGGAGGAGTCTCCGTTACGGCCTTTGACAGTATCCTGAGAAATTAGTCTCTAACTGTTTGGGTGGGAGAAGACTCTAGGCAACAAGAAAAAAAGTACAATTCATATTCTAAATCCTAAAGATAAAAAGAAGTCTTTACTAACAAAAACTTGTGATCAACAATACCACACTTCTTCATATCAAACCTATCAGCTAAAAGGTGTGCATTCACATGAATGACCTACTTAATTATCATCTAGTTTTTTTTTGGACTCATAATTATCATCTAGTTTGAATATGAAAGTGGGGAATTGCTGTTTTTGTCTTGGTTGTAATGATCAAACGATCTTGACCTTCCTCTTGCAACCTTGATCCCAACCTAAGATCGAACGTAATCCTATGTTTGACATGAGGCAAATGGAAGGACTCAACCTGAAGCTCAAAGGACCTTTATGGACATAAATCAATATGTTTTATTTTTTATTGGACATAAATCAAGCCATGAACACACACACATATATAATTATGTATATTTTATGCCAAAAATATGTTTATTATTTTTATATAAATCAGTGACTCCCTCTCTATCAAAAACTTCAGATCAACTTGCAACAACTATGAAGTATGAATATTTTAACAGCTGTATTTGTATAATCTCCATGTGCAATCAATAAATAAGAAGAATTTAGAAAAAAATATTATAAATTTAAAAGTCTTACATTTAAAAATAAAAGATATAAAGAAATATTACTTTTTAGAGTAAAATACTCTAAGCATTTTGTCCTAATTATACGAACATCTCCTCTATTTTAAAAATATACACTTAAATCCAAATCGTTAACTTTCTTAAGAATATTCTAAAAAGTTTTTTTTAATTAAAATTTCATTTGAAATACTTTTTATTTACTAATTTATCCTTCATAATACTAAATCTCTAAATTTTAACTAAAACTATTTTAAAGAATTTAAGATTTTTTTTCTTTACCTTAATTTTATTTTTTATTGTTGCAAATAATTTTTTTTAATGTTTTTATCATATTGGGATAGAAAATTAAGTAATTTAGTTAATGTGAACATTAAAAATTGAATGAAAATTTAATTAATTCTTTAAATAAATATGTAATCAATCAAATAAGTTATAAATGTTTGCAACAAAAATTTTGTTTAAAAATTTTAAATTATAAATTCAAATGATTTATATAATGTTTCAAAATCACATAATTTATATTATATGATAAAAAAAATATGTATTTACAATATTTTCTAGCCATTTAAAAAAAACCCTAATAAATAAGTTCAATATGTCATGAAGAATTAAAATTATATAATTCTGTGATATAATCAAAATTAATAAATTTTATAACATATTAAAAATTTTGAAAATATGTGTATTATGATTATTTTTGTTGTATCAAAATTATTTTTTATAGATATAAATGTTCAAAAATATTTATGTTAATGAGGGATATTTTGGTCAAAATAAAAGTTTAGAAGTCAAACTTAAAACTTAACAGTCAACTAGCTGTGGATTAATAAAAATAAAATCTTAAACATGTAAAGGTGGTTTGTATAACATATATTTTAATTTCAAAAAAAGTTTTATATGCATTTTGAAAATTATGGGAGATTTCTATAATTTATGCAAAATAAAGGGCTAACCAATGTATTTTACTCTATTTTTTATGTATAGACCTCATGGAAAGCTCCTTTAATATGTGCCATTAATAAGAAGAGTTTAGGGTGAATTATTTAGGGTAAATCATAAACTTAAGAGACAAAATATATTAAAGTCTTATAATTAAGGTAAACAAAATAAACTCTATAACCAACCTTTATATTTAGGATAAAAAAAATATATATGACTATTTGATTGAGTCATATTCGAGTATTGTTGAATCTAACTGAGAATTGTTCTCTCAAAGATATTTTCTTTGGTTACAAAAACTTGAATTCAAAACATCATGAATAAACAATCAAAACCTCTCCCACTAAAAACAAACACCCCTTGTTTAATGGGGTATTATTTTTAAATATACATATATATATACTCTTCCGGTCCTAAATGTAAGACCCTTATACACACTAGTATAAGGGTCTTACATTTAGGATCGGAGGAGTATATAGCATATATAGAATCCTCCACTAGTCCCAAAGTTAAAATATTTTTTAGGGAAAACTAATGTAGCAGTCCTTATAGTTTCATCTAATTTTGAATTAGGTCCTCATAGTTTTTTTTGTTTTTATTAAATCCTTATTATTTATTCTGTTAATTATATCAGTCCTTCCGTTCCCAAACCCGTTAGTTTGGCATCTGAGCAGACCGTCTTCCTGACTCAGCTGCTGCTACCTCCCTCAGCTTCTATTTCACTATCCCCTCCTCTTACTCTCTTTCGAAGTAAACGCGATCGTCTTCTCTCACCAATCATGTTCTACTTTTTTGGGCCATTAGTTTTCCGCCTCTTCTTCTACAACATCACATAAGAATGAGAAGAAGAAGAAAAGGAAGCAGAGGGGCAAGAAACAGAGGTGCGATGGGCAAGGTGTCATCTGGAACATCAACGTGAGGCATATCTGGAATCTTGAGAGAGGGAGGAGTAGCAGATTCTAATCGGTATTCTTTGCCATCTACTATTGAATTTTGAAATGATAGCTTTTTTTCTTATACTGACATTAATGGACCTTGACTCGTTCTATTGCCATCCTTCGACAAACTACTGCTGATTCATATAGGTGTGCTCGGATATGACAATCTGAGGGTAAAGTTATTTATTTTTTCCCCCCAAAAAGTTCTTAGGCAATTATAATTGCTCAATCGTATTTGTGGATCAAATTTTTTTCGCCACTTTCTGCAGATGAAATTAAACTCTTACAAGTTTCTTCCCCTTTGCATTTCCCCATGTTTCTTAATTAGACAATGGCGTTTACTTTGAAGGAGACTAAGAGGAGGAGAGACAGAGATAAAAGCTGAGGGAGATGGTGGTAACTGACCCAAGAAGACAGTCTGCTCAGATGCCAAACTAACGGATTTGGGAACGGAAGGACTGATATAATTAACAGAGTAAATAATAAGGATTTAATAAAAACAAAAAAAACTATAAGGACCTAATTCAAAATTAGATAAAACTCTAAGGACTACCCGATTAGTTTTCCCTATTTTTTATCATGAACAAGTTGTGCGTGGGTGGATGTGCATGACTCTTTATTATAGGTTGTACCACAGACCTTATCTTTTGATGATAACAAGACATAAACTGAAAACTTGGGGAAGAAGGCAGCTAACAAGGCCAATCCTTGTAAAGTGTGACGATGCCATTTCATTTTCAAACAGGTGCCCCCCACATGGAATGTTTACCACTTTCCATATAAATATAATCTCTTACCAACAACAAATTATGTCGCTTCTTAACTTAATAATATTATAATATTTCATATGTTTTAATTAAACAAATCTTTTTTCTTAAATTTTCTTTTTAATTAAGTAAGATCCTCAGTTCAAGTTCTCTGTCAAATCTCGCAGTCTCTTCAGAATAAGCTCAGAAACAGTTTCATTGGAATTCTTAAAGGCCTCACTGTCCATCTGGAAACAATAATTGCTGAGATTTGGAATTCTTATATAAAATTAGTGAACAGTGCTTATCCGTTTTGAACTTGTTGAGTGAATTGAATTCTATTTTGTTCTCTTCTTAAACTCGAAACTTTGTTTTGAATTAAAGAAAAATAGCAATTTTGGTTTAATAACTTTGTCTTCTTATGTGACTCGTGTATAAATGTTTTATTTATTTACAAATTAATATTTTTATTGGAAAAATCATTTTGAAGGTACTTATGTTAACATAGCAAATTTACAAGGACTAATGGAGGCTAATGAACAAAATTAAAGATTTTGATTAAGATTAAAAAAACACATAAGTATCAAATTAAAAATTAAGCGAAAATATGTGTGTGCCCGTGGAATGATTTTTCCTATTTTTATTTAATGTTACTCTTTTTGATATTATACTAAAATGTGTGCATATAAATAATGAACAAACCTAATCATAAAAAACTCACCTATAAATGTGGAGTTCAGAGGATTACATTGTAAAATTTCAGAAATGGTTAGTCGTATATG